ACTAAGCTCTCGCACTCAAAGTATGTCCGCGGGCCAGCAGCACCAGCACCGCCTGGGGGCGGCTGGAAATGTGGGCTCTTGGCCCCTCCCCAGGCCAGCTGGATCTGCGGCATTTTCACAAGCCCTGGGTGACTGGGGGTCCAGGACAGGCAGGAAAGCTGCTCTGAGCGGTCCCGGTTCCGTCTGGAAGAAACACTTGTCTGTGACTTCGCCTCCCTCAGATCACCTTGGAGTCTCTCTGGGCTTCAATCCCTCAACAAAATCACCTCCAATGCATCCTTGCATTACTTCTCAACTGGAAAGCTGGGTGGTTCAAGTTTTAAAAGAAAAGCCGGCTTATTTTTAGCCTTGTAAAATGCACAACCAGATGGATAGACACGCAGAGCTGACATTTGTTACATAAAAAGCATGACAGTAGGTCCCGAGTCCATTCTGGAGCAGCCTCACAGCTGGGAAGGAGAAAAGGCATCAAGCTGCACAGCTGCCCCAAGGGCCCCCAGGAGACCCGGTGCTGGGCCCAGAACGGGGGAAGCCAGGAGCAAACACGTGAGGGGGTGCCCGGCAGGAGGCCAGGACCATAGGCCTCCTCCTCAGTCCATACCCCAGACCAGGGGCCTCTGCAGCCACCAGGCTTCTGACCACCAAGCCCCTGCACTGTCGGGGACGGGTGTCTGGGCCACACCGAGAGCCACACCCCCACCCCCCGACCCCTGCCTCACAGGGTCAGGAGAAAAGGAAAAGGGCACCCTCCAAAATGCGAGTCCACACCTGACTGGGAAGTCTTTCCACACTAGGGCTAAGCTGACGCTCTGTCTGGAGGGATGACTCGTCCACACCAACTGTGCGGAAGGAGCAGTCCCCAGCCCTCAGCAGCCCACCCCTGGGCTCAGGACCTTCTCTCTTCTCTGCTCCATGAGCTCCGGCAACACCATAAGGAAAGACTGAGGCAAAGTCATCACAGGGCCACTAGAGTCACTCCCAGGCCACGTGACCGACCACCCAGAAAGCCAACAAAATGAACTTCAAAGCTAAAAGAACTAACGAGAATTTAGCGAAGTGAAGTCATGTGCAAGAGCTGACAAAGTCTTGGCCACACACAAGGTGAATGTTGTAAAAGTGGACTGTTCCTTCACACCAGCAGCACCCAGTGTGGAAACGGCCACACTCAGTCCAACACCAACAAGCAACCAGTCCCACACGCCAGGAGCAGCAAGGGCGCAGCCTGCCCCGGGGGGCCTCAGACTTCTACACGGGGAAACATCCTAACCACATTCACCCTGGAAAAGCGGAGAACTAACACAAGGAGAGAGCTTTCTCACTCTCGGTCAAGTGACACTCCCTACGGGCTGCAATTTCCAACACAAGAAGTGAAACCACAGAAGCACTAGAAGAAAGTGCAGATGCAGGTTTATGAATTAAATTATTATTAGCTAAGCTGGGAAGGACGTCTGTCACATAACAGCAAGGCCGGACGCAGCCACAAAGGCAGACGATGAGTCTGACCACACACAAATTAAACACATCCATAGAGAAAAAAGCCAAGTAGCAACATTAAAAGATAAACGAGGAACATGGGAGGGAAGCTGCTGAAGGCTCAGCCTATCAGGAAGGGCGAGAGGAACCTGCGGCTGCCATCCCACAGGACACAGGACACACGCTGCTAACAAGCACGGGCAGGCAATTCAAACTGTGGAAACACGTGAAATGTGTTAGGAGCTGAATGCTCTAAACATTTAAGGTTAAAAGATGATTAACCTCATTGGTAATCAAATAAACTCAAAGCATAAGTGCCATCTTTTAATTTTTCAGACTGGCAAAAAATAGAAATATTGCTGATACCTAAAGCTGAAGAGGATTCAGGGGAAAAGGCGATCAAACCCTCCGCTTCTGGAGCAAGCGAAAATGGGTTTTCCCTTCCCGCAGGCTCCACTGGGAGCAGGTCTCCTGGTTCTCTCCCCTCCAGGTGCCTCCTGCCGCCCGCTGTACTCGCTCCTGCCTTCCTGTCTTGTCAGTCTCCCTGCTTCCCCTCTGCCTCGTCACCCCATGACAGCAGGACTCACAAACAACGGTCACGGAGGGACCAAGTGAGCAGCCACACGTGTTAAGGGATTTCACATGGACCCCTTTGCCTGAGCAATGTCATTCCTAAAAATGTATCCTAGGGAAACAATGCTAAGTGCACAAAGACAAATCTGCAATGATGTTCATCAATACATCGTTTATGATATTTATAAAACAGAAACACCTCACTGTCCTGTGACAGAAAACTAAGTAAGCAGAGAATGTCACAGCTGCTCAGAGGAGCACTGCAGAGTCAGTATTCTCAGTCCCGACTGCTAGTAAAACTCAAGAGGGACTTGAAGACAAGCCTGAGACCCTGAGCCCCACCCCCAACCCACCAAGCTCCCCTCTCCGCCCCCCGCAGTTCTCGGGTGTGGGGCTTGAGCGTCTGCATTTTTTAAGAGTGCCCAGTGAATGACTCTAGTATACAGCCTAGGGCTGAGAACTGTTGTAAATTCAGCCAAGAAATGATGCCTCAGGTCTATAAGAGGCTGGCGACATATTGCTGAATCAACAAGCACATTACAGCAAATTGGCGTGCAGGATCCCACTTCTGCTAACAAAGAGAGAATGTTTCTCCATGGCTGTACCTGGGACTGTAGTCCCAGAAAAAGGCTGGGAGGTGACACCGTGATCTCAATGCCAAAGTTACAAATATCATGGCATAAAGTACAGAATGGTTCTAAATGTATACACTTTAATGCTTTTATAATTAGGAAAAATCAAAGGTGTTTCTAATTTTAAGAGATGACTTGAGGAGTCTGGGAGCCCCTGGTCCTGCCTCATTACATGCCCGGGCTGGCACCCTGGTCCCGCCTCACTTCCTGCCTGGCCCGGCACCCAGGGCAGGCCGTCCGCAGCCTGTGAGGTCCTGTCCACTCCAGCCTTCCACAGATGAAGGCAAACCCCCTCAGTGAGGAGCTGCTTCCTGCTGGTAGGCTAATGCCACGTCAGGCTAGAAACAGAACGCTGTGACCCCCTGAGACAGGCGAGTGCCCCCCAGGTCACACAGCTGCTCAGTGGGAAGGTGCCGGAGTCTCCTCTCAGGTTCACTTGGTATCACCAGGACACCAAGACAGACAGGAATGAAGGGGCTCGTTCAACAGCACGCAGCTCTCGTGCAAAGCAGCGGCAGAAATACTCCCTAACCAAGTTCAACTCCCAAAATAAATTTTTCACCAAAGTCAGAGAAGGGATAGAATGGGAGGATGTGGAGGGCTGAGGGGAAGGAAAACTGGACCCCCCCAATTCCGGCATGACAACGACATGCAGAGAATTCTGTACATGCACCAAATATCTGCCAAATTAGGAAAATGGTTCTGGAGTCCACAAGAATTAAAAGGAACACAGGACATTTACAATCCTATACGTCACAACTATGCCTATCAGTTGAAATTTACCTGGCACTTTGTTAAACAGCACTCTTACTTTCTTTTTTCCTTTTCTCTGCATACTAAATTTGATATATTAATTAGGTGTTTTAATATAAAAAATTCATCAGAAGGTCTCGCATTGCCATAGCAACCGTGCAGATTCAGTAAACTCGAGACATCAACACAGCACCAGGGCCTCCTTAAGCCAGTGCTGCTGCGGGGCCAAGAAAGTACCAGGGAAATGACTGCGCCAACCTGAAAAGGGTGGGACTTAGGGGCCACAGTCCCTTCCTAAAAGACTCTCCTTTCTCCTTCCAAACTAAGTCCCCAGCGTTCACACTCAGAGGGGCACAACATTCTTCTGCAAACACTGTGCTATGACTCCCAAGTTGTCTGTGCCCTGCCAGTGACAGAAAGGAGGGAAGCGGTCACCGCCCAGAGAATGTCTTCTGCTATTTGGGCCAGGGCCCAGTCTTGCCCTCCTCATTTCACCACACAAAGCCCAGCTAAGTCCCGGTGGGTGCTCAGTTTGGGGATGCGGCTGCATGCCACGCCATAAGGAGTCGGCGGCGTCCGTGGGACACCATCAGCCGAGATCTCTGCCGTCCTACTACAGGCAAATACGGTGATGCCAGGGTGTGAAGTAATTCCCAGGTCAGACCACGAGCCCCACAGACAGACTCTGTGCTTGCTCTTTTTGCCTTTCTAGTGATCCTTGAGTTCTGTGACATAACACACGGTGAACACGCAGGAAAGTCTACCTTACAAAGCTGAAGGCAGCCCAGTGCCACACCGCTGTCTCCATTCCCACCCCAGGAGAGCACGGTGCTGAGACCCAGAAGAGCAGCCAGCTCTTGGCCGACACCAGCCAGTGCTGAACCAGATGCGTTTCTCAGATGTTCTCTCATCCTGCAGCCAGAAACTAGATGCAAATCTGCCTCCTGATCAGCTCCTAGTTCACTCTGGGCTTTCTTTACTTTGAATAGTTATGTTAAAAACAAAAACATTTATCAAACATTCACCATCGTGAGTTCTGCCGCCCCAAAGTTCAGGACACAGTGACGGGCCACCCTGGAGCGTGTGGGGCCTGGTGTGGCTGGGCCTTCAGCCCTCCTTCTGGGCAGCACAACAGAAATCCCTAGTGCTGTCTCCAGGAGGAATGCCGGTGCACGGCCCCACACTCACCAACGCTGGCCTGAGGTCGTATTATTGTAATTTCCCATAATGCTTCAATTATTTATCGCAAGTAAACAGCCTGGGCTCCTGAGCGCTGTGCTCTAAAATTATAAAGGATCCATCATACCTCCGCAGGCTGTCTACAAATGAAAAATGCACATTTCAAGTATTTCAAGAAAATGTCAAAAAACATGAAATGTGTCATCAATGTACCATTTTAAATGATCTGCATGGTATCTGTAAAACAGCTATAAGTTCGCATGTGACTGTATTACAGTGCCCACAGGCAGAGGCGGCACCGCACCTCCCTGCAGGTGCTAAGTCGGGGGTCCCCGGGGTCCCTTGGCACCCCCGGAGGTGTCCCTGCAGGCCTGTCCCATGTCATCTCACCTGCCTTCTCTGCTTTCTACGGCGCCCACCGCTGCACGGTCCCTCAGGAGACACCAGTCCCCGGGGTTGGCAGCTCTATCTGCAGGACTGAACAGTGCACTCGTTCCTGGGAGGGCAGGTCTTTGCACAACGGCTTGGCCCTGCCTCCAGCGCACATGTGTGAGCAGAGAATGGACACGGCGCGGTCACCAAGGAGACTGAGCCTCTGAGCGGCCAGGCCCCGCCACCTGTGGGGCGGGAGCCTCACTCGGACTCCGCAGCACAGGTGAGAGCCTGCCTAACTGCAAAGTACAAACGAGCCGCACGTGGGCCCCAGCGGATCACGGAAAGCGGAAAGCCTGGCTGCCACGGGCGGTGGGCGGAGGCGCTCGCAAGCCGGGAGCCGCCACAGCTGGGGAGACCCTCGCCCCGAGGGCCCGGGCCCAGCCTGCTCCTCCCGCGGCGCCGCCCCTGGAAACGGAGGACTTGGGCGGGCGCCCCGGACCCGCGTGGGGCCCCAGCCGCCCGGCGCGAGCTTCTCCGGAAGCCGGGGCGCCCGGGACGCCGTCCCACCAGGGGAACCCCCGCGAGAAAAAGCCGCCCCGCCCCGCCCGACCCCGCGAGAGCGCGCGGTCCCCACGCCGTCCCCGCGCCCGCACTCACCGTCCTCCTTGTCGTCAAACACCGGCCTCCGCGCGGTGGCCGCCGACATGGACGAGCCCATCCTCTTCTTCCACTTGCTCCAAGGAAACAGGGGGCGCGGCTGCGCGCGGACATCGCCCGAGTCCCGGGCCCGGGGCTGGCCGGCAGCGGGCGGCTGCAGGGCCGAGGGTGCTTCGGAGCCGGCGGGGCGCGCACGGCCGGGGGGCGGCGAGCCCGGGGGCGCCGCGGCGCTGCTGCCCCTGCGCTCGGCGCCACTCCTCATCGCCGGGCCTGGGTGCGCGCCGCAGCCGGAGCCCGGGGCATAGCTGGCCCTGAGGGCCGGGAGTGGCGGCAGCAGGAGCGCTCGGGGCCGGCAGCGTCCGCCGCGAGCTCTCCTGGGCGGCAGAACCTGCTCAGTAGACTGCGAGCGCTGGGGGCGGGGCTGGGGCGGGGCTTTTGGAAAGGGCGGGGCGGAGCTGAGCGCCGGGGCGGGGCAGGGGCGGAGCTCCGGGGAGGGATGTGGGCGGGGCCGAGCCGGGGGTGGGGCAGGGGTGGGGCTAGTGCCTGGAGTGCCGCTCGGGACTGGGTGGCTGCACCAGTCTAGGAATGGGGGTTGTGGTTCGCCGGGACACGGGGACCGCGGCTCAGACTAGACGGCGGGGACGAGAGAGGCAGGGAGCGTCTCCACGGGTATCCTGGGGCCCCGGAGGTCGGCGTCCCTGGCACGGGGACGGCTCTGCCCGGCACGGCGGCTGGACCTTCTCGCGGTCTCCGCGGGCCTCCCTCCCCCTGCCTCCTTCGTGAAAACAGCCGGCGCGCGGGCTTCCGCCGCCCAGTACGAGGAGACCTAAACTCCAGCCTTCTACTTTGCGCAGGGTGAGGTCGGGCTGCAGGCCGGGGATGCGGGCGGCGGAAATCGGCCGGGCAGGGCCGCACTCACGGTCAAGAGGCTGCAGGCTGCGCCCCAGCGCTGCGCCAGAGGGTGGGGCGGGCCGGGCCTGGCTGCGAGCGCACACATGCGAGCGCCCACTCGAGTGGGCGCTGAGCCCTGAGCACGTGCGGCCGCGCTCTCGGGCACCCCCGTCCTGTCCTCGCGACCCCTGTCCGGCCTGAGACCGCGTGCCTCAGTCGCCCAGGGTCCCCCTGTCCAGATGCGACAGGGGCCTCGGCACTCGGCGTATTTCAGAGGCCTGGGGCGCGGCTTGACCTCCGGGCACCTCCGACCCTGCGCGGAAAGCGCTGGGCGCCTTTGAGTGCCCTGGAGAAGGCGCGGCTCTGCATGGAGCCTCGCCGCCTGCCCCTGGTGCTTGTCACTGAAAAATCGGTTTTTGCTACCGGGCTGTTTGACTTTAGGAAGCCTTTACCTCCTTAGGTTCTGCCCTGTAGCCAGGCCACAAAGACGGGGTCCCTTCCTCCCCGCTGAAATCCTGGATGGGATTTCCTGCTGCCCGCCGGGAGGATAAGAGGATCCCCCACCTGGCTCCAAGGCCAATGTCTCCCGCCCCCGCCCCTCCCACTGGCACAACTGTCTATCCTGTCCTTCAGCCTGCCTCCCCACGGCCTTTGACATTCAATGTGGCTGCCCGCCCTAACCGCCTGATGCATGAAATGTGAGCACAGGAAGTCTGTGTGGCTTCTGGGCCAACAGGAGCCCCCATCCCTTAGGGACTGCAATGAATGGAATCACTGCCCATTCACCTAGGACGTGCGCCCGCCTGGACATGCACCGCCTAAGACATGCACCCGTCTGGACACGCACCCGCCTAGGACATCGACCCACCTGGACATGCACCCGCTTAGGACACATGGCACGCATTTCACTACTGAGATTTAGAGGGTAGTTTTATGGCAGTACAACCTAGGTTACCTGACCCACCAGCCACCGCAGGTCTCCCTGCCCGGTCAGTACAGAGGCATTGGTCTCTAACTAAACTTCCAGTGCACAAAGCCCAGTTCCCAGCCCCCGCAGCCGCAAAGCTCTGTCCTCTGCTCTCTCTCAAAGTTGCCATTCTCCCACAGGCACACAGAGGCAGCGGGTTCAGCACCTGCCTCAGAGGAAGCCCTCAGTGCCCATCCCAGCAGGAGTGGTGAAGGAGCGTTTGGAAGGAGAGGCACCAAGGCAGGGCAGTACCTGGAACCCTGTGCACCCGGCGCACACATCAGACTCCCCAGGGCTCCTCCCAAAACACACAGCCTCTGAACATACATCCTCTCCTCCTCTCCCTCTGACCCCCAAAAGTGGCAGAAAAGGAATGAAAGATATAACATCCCCACCACCACCAAAAAGGGAACAGGAGAAAGCAAAGCATGTTAATGGACTTCAGACAGCGGGTAGAAAGGTGACTCTGAAGTTAGAGAGGCTGAGGACCTGCAGGTAACCAGGACCCCAAAAGGCAGGAGAATGTGAATACAGCCAGAGCCCAGGACGCCTCCCCAGCCCAGGCAGCTAGGGATGGACAGTCCTCTGGACTGAGGGTCCAAAGGGGCTCTTGACCCAGGGACACCAAACCCTGTAGAAGACAAGAGTGCAGGGGGTGCAGAGGGGGTTCATGGGGCCATCTGCACACTTAACTAGAGACCCTCCAACCCCAACCCTGCTGTGAGTCTCAAACACCAAGCCAGGCATCTGCCCCTCAGTCAGGAAACAGGATCTGTAGGGAAACAGAAGTTCCCAAAAGAATGCTGGGTCCTAAGATTTAGCCAGTGCAGATCAGCCCTGCAGGGGCCTGTGGGCTCAGGGCACAACTCTTGCACTGTCCAGGTGACCCCCTGCCCAGCCATGGCTCAGGGTCCAGACAAGCACAAGACTGAGCGTTAAGAGGTGCACAGTGCAGGCACGAGACAGGAGGAGTCAGGAGGTGCTGCACCCCAGAGCATGCCAACCCCTGGTGCCTCACAGGAGGTAGCTCTGAAGTTCCACAGGGGGACCCTGGGAGGGACCTAGGCTGGGACAGAGCCAGCTGTGGATGGAAAGGGGCAGTGAGGCCAGTAGAGAATTCCTGAGCTCCCCTGTGTGCCCATGCTGCCCACGAACATCAACTTCATTAGGGCAGCGACCGTGTCTGCCCCTTCCAGTGACAGGAGACCGAGTGACAATGTGACAGATAAATGCATTCAGTGTATTGATGTCTAGCACGCAGGAGCACACAGGACGGCACATGGCTGGGCAGCACGTGCATGATCGTGGGACTACTTTAGCTTGGGTGGTCTGGCATGAGTCTCTGAGCAGGTGGCCTTGATGCTGAGGCCAGAGCATGAACAAGTAGCCCAAGGGAGGCCAGGAGTCTGGGTTCCCGCAGCAGGAGCTGGCCCTAAGGTAGAAACAGGCTCGTGCAGGAGGACACTGGCCCTAAGGTAGAAACAGGCTCGTGCGGGAGGACAGGAAGGTCCTGAAGGACAGCAAGTGTGTGGTCGTGGCATGTGGCAAAGGGGTGGTTTGGGGGACAAGGTGCAGTCCCTGACACCAGGTTTCATGTGCATTTGTCTATAATACATCCATAAAGCCACGCCTCCTGAGGGACATGCCCTGGACATGGGTCTTCCATTGCCACATAACTGGCACACAGCTTGGTCACACCGAAATGTGTGCTTCATCTTCTGTCATCATTCTGAAATTAACACGTGGCTCTGCCCACGCCTTTGTTAAGAGTCCTTTTATTAAAACTCTTCAGATCACACAATTCCTGTGTGCTGTTTCCTGCTGGAAAACACATCTCAGAACTGACCCCCAAAACAGGAAATGGGCTCCCATGGGACTCCGATGCTGGTGTCCACCTATTCGGAGAATCCACGGACAGCCTCCCTCCCAGGAAATGGAAGACAGATGGTTCCAGCCGTGGCGCCCTCAAATTCAGCCCTGAAGGGACATGGGACTGAGGATTCCTGGAAGGCCAGGGCCTTGGAGCTCACGTGGGGACACTTGGTTGCTATGGTGACAGTATTGATTCTAAAGGTCATGTGGCCACCCGGTGACTCAGGAAGGAGCACAGCGACGGAGAATATGCAGGACGGGCTGCAGGCGCTAGGAAGGAGCCCTTGCCCCCACTGCAGTGCGCCAGGGCCGAGCACGAGTTCACCGCTCAGCTCTGCTTAAGGACCCACCACCCCAGCCCCTGCCACCATCATCATCACATCGCCTTTCATCGGTCTGCTCCACCCTTTCCTTCCTCTCTAAGGACACTTGTCATTGGACTTCGGGCCCACCTGACTTCAGGATGGTATCATTTTAAGATCCTTAACTTAGTTACATCTGCAAAGATCCTCTTTCCAGATAAGGTCACATTCACAGGGCCTGCATGGACATGTATTTTGGTGGCAAAGGGCCACCAATTAACCCACCACATCCATGGGCAGCATGGATTCACTGCACCCTACAGCCCCAAAGTCCCAATCATTATAGCAGCAACTCTAAGTCCAAAATCCCAGCTCCTGATTTTTTTTTTTTTGACAGAGTCTCACTGTGTTGCCTAGGCTGGAGTGCAGTGGCGCTATTATGGCTCGCTGCAGCCTCAACCTCCCAGGCTCAAGTGATCCTCCCATCTCAGGGTCCTGAGTAGCTGGGACTATAGATCCATGACCCCACACCTGGCTAATTTTTTTGTACTTTTGGTAGAGACAAGGATTTTGCATTGTGGCCCAGGCTGATCTCAAACTCTTGGGCTCAAGCAATCTACCCCACTCAGCCTCCTAAAGTGCTGGGATTACAGGTGTGAGCCACTGCACCCAGCCTCTCATCTAAATATTTTCAGCTCAAAAGTCCCAAGACTCATTGTCTAAATCAGGCATGGGTGAGACCCTGGTTCAATCCATTCTGGGCAAAATTCTTCTTTATCTGTGCAACTGTGAAACCCGAAAATATGCTTCCAAGGTACAGTGATGAGCCAGGCATAAGATATATATTCCCAT